GTCAACTTAGAAGTCGACTTTTAGGCGACTATAAGTCAACTTTCAGTCAATGTTATGGCGATTATAAGTCGACTTTTAGTCAATTTGACGTCATCTATATTACTACTAAATTTTTATTTTAGTTGTGATATTTCTCAAGACTTCATCAATTTAATTTTATTACACCTTAATTGCATAATATTGTTATATATAATGCAATTAAAGAATAATAAGATTAAATTGATTGTCTTTCAAAATATTACATTTAATTTAAATGATAATTATAAGGGACATATAATAATTAATAAAACAATTTACAAAGAATAGTATATTTATTTTTTTAATATAGCTCTCATCCTATCACCAGACCGTCGCAACCATTCTTGTATGCATATTTCTACTTCGTTGATTGTTGTATTAAGCATCTTTAAAATAATAGCTACAAAGATAATAACATAGTCTATATATAAACATTTTATGACATGAAATTGCTCATCTACATCAAAATTAATAACAGGAAACATAGAATACTAAAGCCGGTTTAGTAACAACAGTAGTTAATGAATTCTTGCATTTAATTGGAAAATATTTTTAGATCTAAAAGAATATACCAATTAGATAGAAAATTTGCAAACTACGATTGTTACTAAACCAGCTTTAAGTTGCCGTGTAAACTCATAGTTCCCAAAACGATCTGAATATATTGTAGAAAAATTAATCTTTTTCCTATAATACATTCAGTATTATATACATTAGGTTTGTTCTTTGTAGCTAAACTAGCAATCGTTACATTTAAAATGAAACAGAGATATATTTGAAATTTCTCGAGTGAGAAAGAAAATTTTATAAGATGCTTATTAAAATTTTATAAAACAAACCTCATAAAAGTTTACAGATTTTTCAGGTATTTCATTTTTTATTTACAAAAGAGGAAACAGTTCGAGCATTCATTGACATATTTTTAAAAAATACCACTCGAGCGGATTCTGTCACTTAAGAGCAACAGTCCTAGCACTCTCTGGTGCAACCAGGGTAGACTGAATTTTCAAAAGAAAATTTTAGAAAATCAGCTTCCTACATTTTTCCAGGTAGTAAACGTCCTGTTCTAGTAGCTCCTACCCACAAGACGTGGCAACGCTTATCGCGCAGCGGAAGTTCGTGCGATAACCAATGAACGTGCCGCTTTTCCGTAAGAGCTAGAAAGTTATTACGGAAAGTAGCATATTGTTTGGCTATCGCACGAATTTCCGCCGCGTGGTAAGTGTTGCCGCGTCCTGTGGGCAGGAGCCATTAATATATTTCTACGACAAAGAACAATAAAGGCCAAAAATTGCAGACAGCACAATGTCCGAAAGTGGGACATAAGACGTCTTTAAAACGTCTTTTAGACATATTAAAGACGTCTTATGTTCCGTTTTTGGACATTAGTGCTGTCTGCAAATATTGAATAACATTTAATACCAATTATTGACTCCGAAAGTTTCGATTTTTTTAAAGATAACTTTTTTTTGTCCTGTCCACGTATATGCCTGCGCAACTTCGTAGCCAATAGTTTGCGACATTATATGTCTTACATTTTTGACTACAGTTTCTCCGCCTATTTGTGACATTTTCTCAATCTGTAATAAATATATTTCAAATCATATGATATATATTCAAAAGGTTTCATTTCATGTACAGCAATTAAAATGCATATTTGTGTTAATAATTAGCAAATAACTAATATACGTACAAATTGTCGCCGAACGTTATCATCCTTCAAAAGGTTATTGAAATTTTCTACTTTTTCCACCGTACTGAGAGGAAAATTCGGTAATAAAGATAAATCAATTTGTCGTTGTACATTATGTTGTACTTCTTTTGAATTTTCCAGAAAATGAATAATCCGGTTGAATTTACGTTTAAGTGTCATAAATTTTGAATAATATCCTCGCCGACATTTTTCTAACAACAGAGATAAAAGAATCAAGTGATTAACATTATTGAATTAAACTATTATAATAATTCATAATAATCTTTTGTTCTGCATTATATTTACTAGTGATATAAATAAAATAAAATTTACCACAACAAGATGTGTGCTCTGAATCTATCAATTGCTTTTCTAAATTTTCTTTATTGTTTATATTATTTCCAGGTGAATTTAGTCCACGCATGTCATGTATTTCACGAATTGAAGTGCTTGTAGAAGGGTAATTTCTCGTATCTAAAAATATTGTTGACCGAGCTGTTAAATCTTCTGTGCAATTTTGCAAATATATTGTTTATATTGTCATTAGTCAATCATTGTATTATGAATATGAAATTAATGAAAGAAAAATAAAGTTCAAGCATACCATATAATATTGCTGAAAAACTTGCTTCCTCTTTTTTTTTATTCACATTTTTAACTGCTTGCGGCATTTCTGTAAACCAGTATGAATGATATAAAGTTATTTATGGACATTCTCATTCATTATTAAATTTATAACGTAATAACATATTAAAACATACCTTTTGAAGTTTTTTTTTGCTCATGATTATCGTGTGTCATTGTATTTTGCATTTCTGAAAGATATGAAAAAAATATGTAAGGTCTTTATATTTAACATTAATTTTTATATACAACTTCCCTGATCAATATAAAATAGCAATTAGTATAATACCTGTATTGCAATATTGCTCTTTATGATAAGAATCTTTGTCATAGAAATCCGATGAATCCGATAGTTTATCTTGTATTGATACATCTAAGCAATTGTCGAAGATTTGGTCGAAAGTATTTGAAGGCTTATTATTTAATGTAGTGGACTCGCATGCTACACAAACACATAAATACATATATATACACAGTCATATAATTAAAATATAATTGATATCATTTCAAGGTGTTTACTTGGAAATGTTCTGCAAATATTTTATAAAATTTTATAAATTTCTTAACATAATAAACACTTTGCATTCATACAGGATGTCTGATAATTTGTTAAGAAGACGCCACGTAAAGGTAGATTAGGTCAAACTCAAAAAAATTCCTCTACCATTTTGGGAATCAGTAGTAAAAATAAAAGTAAAAAAAAAGTAAAAATAAAATAAAATAAAAGTAAAAAGTAAAATTTTAGGTTATTTATAAAAAAATTCACATTATTGATCACGCGCCATACAATAGATGAACTGTGGTAACAATATCTGTCACTGTGTGCTTGTATTAGATCAAAATAAGTAAAAAAAGTCTTCTATCATTTTACAAATAATCATGTACATTTTTAGTTATTAATTAAAGAAGATTGATGCATTATTATGCACAGTCATGTACCAATTTTTTTTTATTAATAACTAAAAATCTACATGATTATTTGCAAAATTAGAATTTTCTTTTTCAGCTTTGTCTAATATATAAGCACATAGTGACAGACGTTATTATCATACTTTATTTACCGTATTGCGCGTTATCATTAACGAATCTTCTTTGATTAATAACTCAAAATATTACATGGTTGTTCGTAAAATAATAAGAGGATTTTTGATTCATTTTCCTCATCTACTTATATACGGCGACTGTTTAGTGAGTTACCGGACACTATGTATTGTATTATGTACAAAGATTAATGATAAACCTGATTGATGATTGGTGATTGTCGGCAATTTATTAATCGGTTCGCTTAATGAATTGGATACATATCCGCTTTCTATTGATGGAATGTAATTTGAGGGCATTGTAATTTTGCTCTTTTTTGGTTCATCTAGAAATATCCATAATTGTTAACTTTTGTATTATCATTTTTATATATCGCATTTATTATACACATGTGTCCTATAAATACCTTCACTACTCGATGTGTCGCCATAGAACTTTCGTTTTTTAATAAGCCTCTTTTTCAAAGCATTTTCTGTTCGTGTCTGTAATATAATATTGTCATCTGACGCAGACATGTCGCTTATTGCTTTTTCTACCAACCGTGCATTTTGGTACGTTCCTATAATATATTTTTAAATATTAATTTTTTTTCAGATTTTTATGTAAAATATAAAAATATGAAACGAACTATAAGGACCAAAACTTTTGTGATATGTGAATTCATCCCAATCAGCACATGGTGACCATTTTTTCATACAGGCTTGAGTAAGCTGTTTGCTTTTCTTCGGCATTTGAAATGTACATTGTTCAAAATCTACCCATGTTGTTGGTACTGTTATGCAGTATGTATCATACAGCAGTACATAAAACGTCATTCTGAAACATTATATATATATATATTTACACATATACAGGGTGTTTGATAGCTGATCATGCAGACGAAAGTTGGAGATAGATTGGGTGTAGTCGAGAAGAAAAGTCATGTACCATAATGTCAAATTGGCAATAGTTATCGAGTTATTAATTAAAACATGTGAGCCAACGAGCGCGTAGAGAGCGGAGGGCGGCCGCAGTAAGCACGTAGACATTTGATACAGACGGAGTCAGAGAGTGTCGGTAGGCAAGCGCGCGCGGCGAGGGGCAACGTAAGCGACAAAAGGTGATCATGCGCGACGAGGAGCGAGCGAGCTTTTTCTTTATAGGTTTTTCCTTATAGCTCGCTCGCTCCTCGTCGTTCGCGCTCGCTCGCTCTTCGTCGCGCTCGCTCGCCTCTTGTCGCTTGTGCTCGCTCGCTCCTCGTCGCGCGCGTTCGCCTCTTGTTGTTTACGTTGCCCCTCGCCGCGCGCGCTCGCCTATCACCACTCGCTGACTCCGCCTGTATCAAATGTCTATGTGCTTACTGCGGTCGCCCTCCGCTCTCTACGCGCTCGTTGGCTCACATGTTTTAATTAATAACTCGATAACTATTGCCAATTTGACATTATGGTACATGACTTTTCTTCTCGGCTACACCCAATCTATCTCCAACTTTCGTCTGCATGATGAGCTATCAAACACCCTGTATATAAGGTAACTTAGGATAAGATGCCTACTTTCTACTTACTTTTTATAACATAAGGGAATGTTATTGAGTTATCAATTTATTTAATATAAAATTAGCATTTATATGTAACGTAATATTAACAGCTGAGCAGTATTTTTATTTTAACGACGAATGTAATAACGGCATGCAACACCATGAAGTTCTGTTTTTAAATGGAAGTTGAACGGTTTTATTCATGATTTCTGTAATTGGCCACATAATCAAGTCTGACAAATTTTGAACTACATATATGTCCATATTTCGTGACTCGCAAGGATAGAATAGCAAATTATTTTTTGTCAACAATTTTCTTCCGATAATGACAGCTGTTTCTTTTTCGTTGTAACAAATATGTTCAATAGCAACAATTGTTTTATCTTTCAGATAACAACAGTTATTTGGTTTCTTGTCTGTCAATATAAAGTCGCTGAATTGAATCATACGATAAGCATTGGTACAATTCATTGGTAGAACTTTTAAACATTTCTTTTTCAATATAGGTATACTATATTTGTTACAATCATTGTGTATAACTTCATTATAATTTTCTGAAATTCTTTTATATAACTGTTGTAGTGGTTTATCTGCTTTTCTAAGCATTTTTTTTATTGATTGCATGTAGTTTTCAAAAGGAAAAGCAGAAAAATCATCCAATGGTCCAAACATCAGTACGTCTTCATTTATGTGAATTAAATTGTGTACATTATAAATTATAGTATCATTGCCATACAACTGTTTAAATATTTCTACAAATTGAATTAGTAGATCTCTGCTATATCGATTGTTACGAAAGCAATCCACTGGATGACATAATATCCGCATTGAACAATGTAATGCATTGAAGTGTAGTAAATTATCTTCTGGCAAAATATTTAGCAGCATGACTGGTCCCAGATATAATAAAAATACTCGCAGTTCTGTTGCTTTCCAACGAGTCAATTCATCTAAAGAACGTGGTTTTCGAGCAAACTCGTTCGGTATCCATTTCCTCATTGCAATTAATATTTCCGACAACTCTGTTAATTTGTGTCCACTTAATCTGGATGTCTGATATCCACTTAGCCACAATAGCAATAGTTTCTTCATGACTCCTAGACATACTAAGTGCATATAATCCAAAAGAAAACATGAAACCATTGGCAGCTGTACTGACTCAAAAGGAGATATACCAGTATGATGATCTTCTTGTACTCTAGCCTTAAAATTGTCATCAGTTCGAAGAGGCGTTGTAGATTCCAAAAATAACATGTGATGATTTAAATAGATGCCTTCTTGCATACATTTTCCGCAACCAAAATATTCATTGTGTGATTTCGTGCAAGTTACGAATGCTCTTGCAGGACTATCGCAAATTATACTTCTAATTTGTACAGTGTATCTTTTTCCATTTAAAATGAGTCCTTCATTTTTGAGAAAATCATATTCTTGACAAAAAGGTGTTAAAAAGCATCTACAGAAGGTGGTTTTGAGTACCCATGATAAGCACTAATTACAAATGGTTTAAATATCTTGTCACCGTGAATTTTGTCCAATATTGGCCAAATTTGACTTTTACTGCTCTTGGATATTGGCAATCCATCAATATTTAAGTCTATCATAATAACTTCATTTATCACGATGAACTTGGTGCGTATCAGTTGTTCAGTTATTGCCTCTTTCAAACCGTAATGAAAAAAGTTTCCCTTCTCTGCCGATACCTTTATAATACTATTTCTTGGTGTATTTAAAAGCGTTCTTGCACTTTTTGGCATATCGGTATGACCATATGTACGCAATTTACTTAATAATTCTGACAAAGCAGTGTGACTAATGTTATATTTTAGTGTCCAAGAACGTAACCAATTGGAAAGTTTTGCAGTTTTATTGGTATTTTCTTCAATATTTTCTTTATCTTCCTCTTCCAGAGTAACATGAATATTAGGTCTTGCAACATCGGCAGAAAACACATTCAAAGTATTGCCTGAATTAGAGTCATCAGATAAAGTACAGTGTGTTATAGGTACATTTATACTAGCTAGCGATTCTAAGCTAGCGACTTCTATATTAACTGTAGATCTATCTACATGTTTGACTGTAGATTTATCTACAGTTGTTTTACGCTCGTATCTTTCATAAGCTTCAAGACGTCGATTTTTTTGCCGCGAAGATAATTCCCGAAAACTCCTCGGCATCTGTGAATTAAAGCATAATATGATAACATTAATAAGATATTTAATGGACACATTATGGTTATTTACATTGACAGACAAGAAACCAAACAACTATTATTTGAAATCTGTTAATTGTTGTCTGAAAGATAAAACGATTATTGTTACTGAACATATTTGTTACAACGAAAAAGAAACACCTGTCATTATGGAAAGAAAATTGTTGACAACAAATAGTTTGCCATTCTATTTTTGCGAGTCACGAAATGTTATGGAAATGGGATCAAATTGGCTTAAATTTTAATATGATGTAAGTTTTGATTAACTGATAAAAAGTCTTAATGGTTATCGGACTAAATAATCAAACGTTTTTTAATTACAACGACTCAACTATTCAAAATTGACCTCCATTCTGAAGCAATATTACGTAATGATAAGTACTTGAGATTTGTTGTGTTTCATTCCTTTCAGTCTTTATTCACACTTTCATTCATGCATCCACACACACACGCACGCATGCACGCACGCACGCACGCACGCACGCACGCACGCACACACGCACGCACGCACGCACGCACGTACGCACACACACACAAATACACACATAGGAATATATGCAAAATTATGGCACTCATGATAGTCATTTTTCTTCAAAAGTATGTGTGCGTGCATGTGAAAAGATGTATAGATAACAATTTAACCATTAAACACCATACTACACAAGACACTACGATATGGCATACCTTTCTAATTCAATTTTTAAATTCAATTTTTAAAAAATTGTTTATAAGTTTCATAACAATAAATATATTATAACAAATCCTTTTCAATCGGAACACAAGATATTAACAAACATATCAAACATATCTTTTTACTAATAAAGATACATATATTACTACTAAAGTAATATATGTATCTTAATTAGTAAGAAAAATTAGAATGTTATATGTGTTTAGTATAAATATAAAAACGAGTTTAACTGTTAAAACCTCAATATACTTTATTGCACTGTTCAATTTAATATGTAATTTATGATTTGAAATATTTATATTTCATTTTTATATTTAGTGAAACTAAAGGAAAAGTAATATGTAAGAGCTAGTGCAGTTATTAGTGCATAAATTATGGTATTTATTAATAACAACTGATAATAAATACAAGATAATAAAACATGTGTAAACAAAGTTAATATCCACGATATTATGTTGAAATAATAAAAAAAAATCGAATAGTTAAAGTAATTAGAGTTATAAAAAAGCAAGCAATTTTTTAGTACCCTTAATATAAACATGTAAGTATAAATAAATAAATATATATACAGGGTGTTTGATAGCTGATCATGCAGACGAAAGTTGGAGATCGATTGGGTGTAGCCGAGAAGAAAAGTCCTGTACCATAATGTCAAATTGGCAATAGTTATCGAGTTATTAATTAAAACATGTGAGCCAACGAGTGCGTAGAGAGCGGAGGGCGGCCGCAGTAAGCACGTAGACATTTGATAAGGCGGAGTCAGCGAGTGGCGGTAGGCGAGCGCGCGCGGCGAGGGGCAACGTAAGCGACAAGAGGCGATCGCGCGCGATGAGGAGCGAGCGAGCTTTTTCTTTATAGCTTTTTCCTTATAGCTTGCTCGCTCCTCGTCGCGCTCGCTCGCCTCTTGTCGCTTACGCTCGCTCGCTCCTCGTCGTTCGCACTCGCTCGCTCCTCGTCGCGCGCGTTCGTCTTTTGTTGTTTACGTTGCCCCTCGCCGCGCGCGCTCACCTACCGCCACTCGCTGACTCCGCCTGTATCAAATATCTATGTGCTTATTGCGGTCGCCCTCCGCTCTCTACGCGCTCGTTGGCTCACATGTTTTAATTAATAACTTAATAACTATTGCCAATTTGACATTATGGTACATGACTTTTCTTCTCGGCTACACCCAATCTATCTCCAACTTTCGTCTGCATGATCAGCTATCAAACACCCTGTATATATACATATATGTAGACGTCTTCAATGCATTAATAGTGAAATACAGATATAGAATGTTCTATATATATATATAAAGCGTTAATCAGGCTTTAAAATCATTATATTTAAATGTTTATCATTATATTTCTGAAGTGATTAAAAATGTTATACTAATATTTCTATATACATTTTTCAATCAGTCCAAAAATATGATTGTAAACACTCAGATGTAATGTAATTTTAAAAGTCTGACTTGTGCAAATAATTTCATATCTGCATCAAACATATTTCATATCTGTATGAAACATTCATATGATTCAGGTAGCACCGTGATGTTCTATTGGTTAAAATAAATGTCCTTAAAACATCATTTGACATCACCTTGCTTTCTGGGTGTTATTTCTGTCTTTTATTTTGTTACATTCTTTCGCTATGAGTAAAATACATATAGCATGTTTGATACAGATATGGAATTATTCATGCTAGTCAGACTTTTGAAATTATTTTTGAAAGCAGGGTAGAACTCAAATAGCCAAACCTGCAAAAGCAGATTTTGCATAGAATTGTTAGCAAACTGTGAAGAGAAAGGCAACAGCATCCTGAGGATATAGATGTCTATGGATCTATCGACAGGTCCTGCATCAATTTCCTGTCGCCAATCTGATGTCAGTCTGCGCATAAATTGTTTACTGGGAATACAAATATCTGATTGATTTTTATACTTACTTTGCTCTGTGTTCTGCAAGTGGATAAAGGAACTCCAGGAACAAATCTTAACTGAGCAACTTTGCTCTGTACACAGTTCTCTTCTTCTGTATATCTTTTGTATATCACCGTAAAAAAAACAAGAATTACAATAAAAATAACAATAGTTTACATGCATAAAATATAAAGCATTCACATTAAAATAGAAAAGAAATATCATAATATCACAATAAAAAAATGCGCAATTTTGAGGTTAACTACATTAGAAAAACAAATATCCTGTTTTATCCGTTTGCTAAATTGATGATAAACCGAAATGAATGTGTATGTTTTAAAATGCTGGAATTGAGAATTAATTGTTTTTACATTTTTTGTGCAACTATCTAAAAATACAACCTCAAAGTCTATGACATGGTTTTTTGTGACAATTATTTAACACATGTAAAAAACTATTAAAAATATCTATCAAACAATCTTAAATCTTATTTAATACAATATTATATAAGAAATATAATATAATATAATAGGAAAGAAAAAGAATAATTACCTTTGAAAAATGATGCGATAAGACACGTAAGTAAGGCACGACATACTACATGGGCTAAAAAGTCTTTGGCCTGACATATAGATGGCGCCACAAACTAAAAATCTGTGGGGACTTTGAGCTCCCCAAAAGCGCACGCATCCGTTTTCCGTGCGGCGCTACAGAGCGCGCGCAAGTGTCACTCGTGCGGGAAAAAGGACCAACGAGTCAGTAGTAACCGTTGGAAGCGCACACAGAGCTCACGAATATACGATCGCTAGTTCATAGTTAGTCATTCTTTCTTTGTCGTGTGTGACACCGCGATTTCTGCACGCGGTCGCGATTGTGCGAGAGCGGGCAGGCAGGAGCATCGGCTCCGTTCGACACACACACACACATATACATATGAGTCCCGCTGTGGCTCATATGTCGTGCGAGCATAGAAAACTATTTTTCTGTATTGAAGACGAATAAGTTGTACCTGTGACTCACGTGCTCTGCAGCTGGCAGGCACGTGCGCAATAAAGGGACCAAAGAAGAACACGCCTAGGTTAATTTAGGAACCTACCCTCCACTTGCATCGGCGAGAGAGCAAGAGGACACAAAAACCTAAAAATCCTTATATTTCCTATAGAGTACCAGCCTTAACTTAGATGCTGTAAAAATTTCATGATATTTCGTTGACTCGTGTACAAGTTATAGCTTTCCAAGTGACGTTACCTCTGAATTTATCTTTACTATGGAAAAAAGTGAATTTCGTGTTTTGATTAAACATTGCTTCCTGATGGGAAAAAACACTGTTGAAGCAAAGGCATGGCTTGATAAATGTTACGGCACATCTGCCTCATCGAATTCAACCATCAAATATTGGTTTGCTGAGTTTCGTCGTAACCGTACGAGCACAAATGATGCACCACATTCAGGAAGGCCAAATGAGGCAGTTACTCCAGAAAACATCCAGAAAATCAGTGAAATCGTGTTGAATGACCGCAAAATGAAATTGAGTGAGCTAGCTAACATCATAGGCATCTCAAAGGAACGCGTTGGTCATATCATTCATGAATATTTACACATGAAAAAGCTTTGCGCGCGTTGGGTGCCGCGTTTTTTGACAATTGAGCAAAAAGCGGAACGTGTTCGACTTTCAAAGCAAAATCTGGCCCTGTTTAACCGCAATAAGAAGGAGTTTTTGCGTCGATTTGTCACAATGGATGAAACATGGATCCATCACTACACACCGGAGTCCAATCGGCAGTCAGCGGAGTGGTTATTGCCTGGTGAAAGCCGTCCGAAGCGCCCGAAGACACAACAATCAGCCGGCAAGGTTTTGGCCAGTATTTTTTGGGATGCGCATAACATAATATTCATTGATTATCTTGAACATGGTAAAACTATCAATAAAGAATATTACTGTACATTACTGGATCGATTGGACGACGAGGTCAAGGTCAAACGGCCACATTTGGCAAAGAAAAAAATTTTGTTTCACCAAGACAATGCTCCAGCTCACTCGGCTCGCGATACGACCGATAAATTAAAGAAATTGCGCTATGAATTGGTCCCGCATCCCCCGTATTCTCCAGACCTGGCCCCCAGCGACTATTTCCTTTTTCCCCGACTGAAGCAGTGGCTCGCTGGTAAAAGATTTTACTCGAATGAGGAGGTCAAGTTGGAAACAAATGCCTATTTTGAGGGACTTGACACCGAGCACTATAAGACCGGCATCGAAATGTTAGCGGACCATTACACTAAGTGCATTACTCTAAATGGAGATTATGTCGAGGAATAAAACACTTTTTTCATTAAAAAAATCGTTTTTTCATTGTTAAGCCAAAGACTTTTCAGCCCATGTAGTATAACCTAACGTATGTAAATATTTGTGTCTTTCAATTTGTATTAGCCCATATTTAAAGATTAATTTAGAGTTTCTACATGAACGTGTAACGGCCAAAATTTGTTGGTCGTTACGCTGACTGTCGATGTCAATCACGCGGCAATCAGCTGAGCGCGCGCCTCTCCGGACCGCGCTATCATCGCGCCTAACAGCGCTCACATCCAGCCGACCATAGTCGAACGCCAGGCAACAACGCTCGGGAACGATCGGCTACCGAGTGGTACTCGCGGCGTCGCCGAAAAATAATCGGCACTCGCCGCATCTTCACGATTAATCCCGATCATATTCGGGATAATCAACGAATTGCATACGGAATCGACCGAGGATGCAAAATCCCGGATATATAATCCGGCCGAAATCTGACAAGAAAGAATCTAAGGAGATCAGTCGTCTAGGAATAGTCGTCAGAGAATCTGCAGAATGCCTCCAGAGGATCGAAAGATCCGAGTAAGTAATCTACCAGGCCGCAACCGTCGACATTCGCGATTATTTTCTGTTCATTGCGATCTAGAGATCGAACGGCGAGTTTGCCGTTGCTCCGGTACGTTTTCCGGAACATTATCTCGTTATTGTACCGTCTTTGCGATCTAAAGATCGAACAGCGAGTTTGCCGTTGCTCCGGTGTGTTTTCCGGAACGTTATCGCATTATTGTACCGTCTTTGCGATCTTGAAATCGAACGGCGAATTTGTCGTTGCTCCGGTGTGTTTTCTGGAACGTTTTAACGTTATTGTGCCGTCTTTGCAATCTAGAGATCGAACGGCGAGTTTGCCCTAGCTCCGGTGCATTTTCCGGAACGTTCTCGTTACTGTGCCGTCTTGGCGATCTAGAGATCGAGCGGCGAATTTGCCATTGCTCCGGTGTTTTCTGGAACGTTCTCGCATTATTGTGCCGTCTTTGCGATCTAGAGATCGAGCGGCGAGTTTGCCGTGGCTGCGGTATTCTCGAGGACATCCTTACCTTATTAACTTTCTTCCTTGTGGCAGAGATTGAGCGGCGCGTTTGTCGTTGCTCCAGTGTGTTTTCCGGGACAATCTCTAAACTGTGTTCTTTTCTTCTTCTCTGCTTCATATAGAACTCCAGGAAAACAATGACCCGGCAACATAAAGCATATTCGCCTCCAACAAGGAGTCCCGGCCTCACGGCACGTCGGCGGGCACTGTGTATCCCGCTACCAAAAGCGCATCTTGCATTCGGTTCGAGTCTAGCAACATCCTGGTACATATTTTTTCTCTAGTGACGTCATCATACACATTTTGAGAACCTTCATTAGGCGCCTACTAGCAACAGGCGACGGTAGTCTAGGAGGTTGGAGCGTTGGATAGTAACCGCGAGGGCCCAGGTTCTCGAGTCTAGCAGCAGCCCAACAGTTTTTTCTTTCGTAACGTCATCATACACACTTTAAGAACCTTCACTAGACGTCAACTAGCAACAGGCGACGGTGGTCTACGACAGAGCTGGAGACTAAGTGCCCTTTTTGGCCGGATTTCAAGCGGTGACACCCACTGTTCCCCTTCCACCGCTCCGCGCTCAGCGGCCGTCGCTGCGTAAGATGTCAGCTGGAGCGTACCCTAGTGTTTTATTATAATTATAATTTTTTCCTCCCTTAATAATCGTTTTAAAATATATATGTTTACGTATTTTATACACACATACATATATACAGGGTGCACGATTTATCTGAAGACATTGAAATATCTCGAGAACTATGCATTGGATAAAAAAAAAATGGTTAATGAAAGTTGTTAATCTCGAAGGGGGACATCCAATGATATCAAACTCGACCTCCCACCTCACCCCCTGGGGGTGGAGGTTGGGGGCAACTTTGAAATCTTAAATGGAAACCATTTTTTATTACAGATATGGATTCTACGCCACAAAATACGTAAATTTTGTCCGAAACTTTTTTTTGATTCGTGATAGATGGCGCTGTAATCGCAAAAAATTATATTTTCCGCAATTCTCCAGAAATGATCATTGGATTGAGAAATAAAAAATACCTGTTCAATATTTTTAAAGAACATAATAAAAGTTATTCCCCCCCCCCATCCTCTCGGGGTAAGGTGGGTGATAACGTTCAAATCTCAAATGGGGACCCACGTTTTTCATTGCAGAATTAGATTGTACGTGAAATTTTTATTGAAACAATTTTTTTCATTCGTGATAGATAGCGTTGAATTTTTCCGAGAAACTACTTTTAGCGTTACACAGGAACAACGACGAGGACATAGTAGTTTTATGTTCCCTTCGGATGCTTTTTTAATGTGAGTCCCCTTGCCTCTCACTGTTCAATTAATTAGAGTAAGTGTTCGAAATTTTTATCTTCAACTTCAATATACTTATTGATCCTTTTTTCAAATGACTGTATACAGGATAGAAGCATATGTGGGTCCCCATTTGAGATTTGAACGTTATCACCCACCCTACCCCGAGAGGACGGGGGGAATAACTTTTATTATGTTCTTTAAAAATATTGAACAGGTATTTTTTATTTCTCAATCCAATGATCATTTCTGGAGAAGTGCGGAAAATATAATTTTTTGCGATTACAGCTCCATCTATCACGAATCAAAAAAAAAGTTTCGGACAAAATTTACTTTGTACAAATTTATTTTGTGGCGAAGAATCCGTATCTGCAATAAAAAATGGGGGTTTCCATTTAAGATTTCAAAGTTGCCCCCAACCCCACCCCCAGGGGGTGGGGTGGGAGGTCGAGTTTTGTATCATTGGATGTCCCCCTTCGGGACTAACAACTTTCATTAACCACTTTTTTTATCCAATGCATAGTTCTCGAGATATTTCAATGTCTTCAGATAAATCGTGCACCCTGTATATATAATTATAACATAATGAAAAAAATGACATAAAAAAAGTGTAATTAAAGGATTATTGCAATAGATTTCCACATCACCTATGAGGTACTATTGCTGATGCGTTTTTTTAAAGTGCTTTCCCCAGTAGGCCTACTCTACTAAATAATAAAGAACAAATACGATAAAATGTATGGCTCGGTAGGGAAACAAAATTTTAGAGCAGAGAGTACGCCGGAGAGGCAAAATTTTCATGTGCATATTTACGTCATTCACAGTCAAGGGGTTAAGCTTATAAGACAACGCTTCTTGATGAATGATGCAATGAGTAACAGAGATTTTAAAACCTTGCTGTCTTATTGGTTTAAAGAAGCCGTTTTTTCAAACCTATCATTGCTTTT